GAAGCTGTGGCAGTCCCAACCGCGCTGAATGGTTGTCAAAACACCGACGATTTTGCTATGTTGTGGCGATGACAGATGGTGGGATGAGATAGAGCGATCAAACAATCCATATCTTTGTTATTTGGATGAAAGATCACACATAATTGAAAATGTGGGAAGACGAGACCGCGCCCTTTGTTTGTAATGTTGCGTATGCAAATCAGACAGGGCTAGGGAGAGCGCATCTTCGCTCTTGAAAAATAGAACACCTTGCAAACCAGGCTCAGTGGACAACGATTAAATAAACATGTAAAAATGCTAAGCTGTGCGAGCACCTTGTGCAATCGCAGATGTAGCCGTCACCACCCGATCAAGAACGTCTACGTGGTCAAAATGGGTGCGTGACGACAGCAGCGCAGTGCGTTCAACAAAACACAGTGTTCATTTACGAATGACAGCACTGAATCGGAACATTCGTTATGCATACGAGATAATACGAACAATGAATACGAGATTCATTGAATCAGTCATCAAAAGTAGACGACGACAGAGGCAATATTCCCGCAAATCCCGCCGCAAACCACGCAAACAGAGAATTTCTATGAACAAAACATCGGCCGGCCTCTGATCTCAGAAGAAAGCGGGATATTTCACGGTGCCCCTATTGAAATCGTCACTGGGCACAAGGTGGCCGGTGAGCGTTGACGGATGGCCGGTGAATCCTAGCCGTTGGTCAGTGACCTGTGGCCGCTGAAAGGTGATGACTGATCGTCACCCAGTTACCGAGGAGGAAAGGGCGACTCAATTAAAAAGTGCTGATGCAGTTGCCAGCCGGTCCCTTTGACCGGGAGCCGTCCCCGGCCGGTCAGCGCATAACGCTGGTCTGATGAAACACATCCGCTGCAGATCCACTCCTCCATGGAGACAGAGCCTTCCTTAGCAGCAGCTGCGGAGACGAAATACTGAAACTACGACTGTAACAGCGACTACTGGCAGCATAACAAGCGGCCAGAATGTTTGCTGCGGATAAGGAACTACAATTGGGAACCGATAAACTGAACTTACCATTGGATTTTGTCAGGGAACTGAAACTGAAGTATCTAAATGAATAAATTAGTTTTTAAAGAGGGCAAAACTTCCAGAATACCCTTCACTGATGGGTAATACACTTCAGAATATCAATTAGTCTTCAGAATACATTCCTTTGGCGGTGGGCATCTACGACTCATATAGGTAAGGCAGAATGACGCTCTTCTGGCAACAAGTAAATACTGGGATAAAACATTACCGAGTCAAGACGAATGAGGTTGCCATAAAACCTTTTTTAAAATCTTTTTACATCAAGCAGGCTGCTCAAGAAATGCTTTCCAAATACCATGAACCATATACCCACCTACAACAAAATGAAATCATTATCTGTGAGCTTGATAACATAACTTATTTACATATCAGCGAAGAAACTTCATCCTAAGTACATATCTCATCCTAAACAAAAACTTACACAGGACAAATGCGAGGCCATGCAAGGCTACATCTTCCCAGCTCGGTTGGCACACGAAGACCTTCAACTCGAGCAAGGTGCTAATGACCACCCAAGCAGCGTACATCCACAGCGTGAGTGTGATCTCATTGTGTGCTTGGTGGGATACGCCAATATTGAGTGTTTGACTTCTGTCCCGATTATGAACGACGATGTGACGCTTCAGAAATCCTGGAAGCGGCGGTCGCCACGGGCAAGAGCGTGATACTTGCCTCAGTAATCGCATACACCTCGAATCATAATCAATTGCATCAGAAAATGGCGTCCTGGATGTAACACTGACGCAAGTTCCCTGCGCCCTGCATGCACGATTACATCCTAAGAAACCGCTCCCAAAATGTGACCTTCATGCATCAATTGAACCACAACTCCCGATAGTGATACGGTCACGTGGTAATTCAAAGCATACCAAATGAGTTGATTGAATGCTAATTACGATTCCAGCTCGCAGAATCCGAATAGCCCTAGGCAGGCAGAATTATCCAGAAGCAAGAGCGGCGTCGCCGTCCGCAGCAAGACAAGACCCGTCCATTACGCATAAGCGCATGCATGATGGAAGGGCGTGCTCGCTGCCCTGAGAAAACCTGACAGGCGACATATATCGGAATATGTGTCGCCCACTGCATCAAGCTGCCCGCCGGTGACAGAAGGGCGGGTCACTGCGGACGGGTCACCTGCCGGTCACTGACACAGGCAGGTGCGCAGGGTCGCTAGGTGTCCGGTCGCTGGGGAAGGCAAGTTACAAGACATATAGGGTGACGCAGGGACTCAGTGATGGGCAGCCAGGGCGGATAGGAGCCGCATAGCATAATGAAAGGCAGCTGGGCGCACTTGTGCGGAACTCCTCAAAGGCAGCTATGTAACAACCCACTTCACTTCACTTCGGCACTTAACCCGCGCCCTGCTGGGGGGGGGGGTGTTTGAACACCCCCCCTTGTGGTTTTTCGCAAATATCTCAAAAACGGCGGCGCGGAGCGCCGCTGTTTTTGGTACATCTTATCGCACATCAATTCTACACATGTTATGAAAATTTCAGACCAAGGTCATTCAAGGTCAGGTCACCAGGTCACTTGAAGTGACCTCACCTCATAAAAAGTTTCAATGTCTGTCATAGCTACACCGAGTGACCGATCGCTTTGAAACTTTCAGCGATTGCTAAGAGCAATAGCATGTACAAAATGTTTATCTCAGAATTTTGATATCGATGACCTAAGGTCAGGTCAATTTTGCGACCTCCCCATTATAAGTCAATGGGAGAAAATTGAAATGCGCCTCTTTTGGACAAAAGACATTATAAACACTCCCAAACACCGAATTACAAGTGGTTTAGACACACTGAACATAAAAATGGTGTCCGTGACCCTTGTTTATGCCCTGAGGTCATCTTAGGTCACGAATGGTATCTAACAGTTTTTCGCAAATAACTTTTGATAGACGCATGCTAGAGCGACGAAAACGCCTTAGATATGTTCAGCTCGACGATACGGATCGACTGATATGCAACATGACCCTTTCCGGTCAGGTCATGACCTTGACCTGAGGTCAAATTTTCAAGTTGACCTTTCAAGGTCAACTTATAGTTCATTCGATGCGTCTTGACGAGAGGAACACAATGCCGGTAAAAGTAAGCTCGTGCAAGGCTTGGGTAAAAAGTTATTGCAGAAAAACTGTTTCCGAAAAAATCGGCTATTTTTGCAATTTTTGCCCCCTGCAGGCAAAACCGTTGACGCTAGGTCAAATCTGAGAGGATTACTCAGAAAGGGCTTTAATAGGGCTATCGAATGCACTTTCCCGCGGCGCTGTAGCTCTATTGGTTCTCGAGTTATGCGTTGGCTTCTTGGAAATTTTCGACATTCGACCTGGAAATCGGCGAAATTTTGCCTTCAATGACCTCTGGTGACCTGACCTTTGTCCTGACCAAAAAATTGACCGAAGTGATTTCGTCATTATTTTTGACGCTCTTTCGAACGCCGCCTTTCGCGTATCGCTACGTGGCCCAGGAGCCGAGTTACAAGGGGGGGGTGTTCAAACACCCCCCCCCCCCCCAGCAGGGCGTGGAAATCCAGGACCCCCAGCCGGGCGCGGGTTAAGACTGAAACCCGCTTCCAGCACTTGCACCTAAATGGAATGCAACTCTAAATTTTCATTTTGCACGTAGCGTGTATGTGATGAATACCCGGCGTTATAGGTGATCGCCTCTCATATTGCTATAAGGAGCGAGCAAATGCCTTGCCGTTTCTCATCGTTCGTTTCAGCCGAAACAGCTTAGAAAATAGCCTTTCAGACTCCATAGCCTAGCCAGTCTCTGTGCGTCAGCTGTCTCATCTCCAGTGCCACTGAGGACCCACTGACGCGCGGTGAGGCGCGTACACCGCCCGGTCGACTCGACCTCGTGTTCCGGAGGGCCGAGGGGGCGGCAGCCCGGTGTTTGGACGGTTCCGGGCGACCCGGCCCGGAATGTGCCGGTCGGTCGGCCGCACAACAGACGCATCCAGAGGCCGGCCTTGGACCGTCGGCAGTGATACGGCTACCGTGACGGTGATGGTCTCCACAATCCAACGAACCCCACAGGTTAAATCACAGTCAGTCCGTCAAACCTCATATGCCAGGTCAGATCAGTGTCTCCACAGTCCGCAGAACCCCACATGTCAGAGCACAGTCTCCCGCGGTCAGCTGAGCCTCACAGGTCAGATCACAGTCTCCACAGTGTCGGGGTTCCAAAGCCCAGTAGTTTGCATAGTCCAGTCGGCCCGCACAGCTCCCTAGGTCCCACAAGACGGCAATTCACTTCTGTTGGTCGGGACGGTCCAGCATGCAACAACAGTTCTTATGCAGTATGATGGTTTCAGAAGTCTCGGTTGTCCCTATCACTACAGTTCCCTCAGACCCTACGGGCACCACATTCCAGCTATCTTCACGGCTCACAGTCCGGATGTCGACTCAGTATAGTGATACTCGACAGAACGGAGGTTTCCAGCTCCCACAGTCCTCAGTCTCACAGTCCCGTCCCCACACATCATGCGTCATGTCACGTCATGCTTCAACGATATCACTGAGAGGTGACAAACAGCGCCGGCCAGGGGCATGACCTCGCCCGGTCCCGGGGCGTGACCTCGCCCGGTCCCGGAGCAGCGCACTGTTCACAGGCGCCGGGCCCGACGACAGGCTCTGCTATCCGTCACACACCCCGGAGTTTGGACGGCCTCGCCGCACAAAGGATGAGAGCTGGTGTGACGATCGATTTGGGAGAAAAGCACAATGCAAGGAGTCACCGATACTACCTGGAAACAGTAAACGTCGCCGAAAGCAGCAAGCAGATATCTAGCAACGCTTAAAACATGTGTAGTAGCCATTGAACTTTAATCAGCCACTCTTCCTGAGTACCAATGGAGGTGCTCTGAAATCCGCCTAGCGTTTATGATAAACTACTTGTTTACTAATACAAAGCGGAACTCCCGATCCCAATAATGACACACTCGTGCACATGTGATATATGTATTTGTCTGATTGGTCCATCTAAGGCACACGGCTAACTATCGCCCAGGCAAGACCAGCATTTGAACCCTGGAACAGCTTCATAGCACGGGTGCCTTCCGATAAGCGAACGGGGATGACACACACGTTAATGACAGCACCTCTGGAAGGAAGGCAGAGGCCCGTGACGTCGGTTTAGCATCGACAAAGACTTCGGTGGAGGTCCTTCGGGACCGGCACTGCATGGTGTGGCCACGCCACAAGACCATGCTACAGACCAAAGGTCACTTACTGTGCCGCATACGCCAGGCTATATGGTACAGCAGACACAAGTCAGAAAATACGGCCATGATGCGGCAAACTGAGAGGAATGTATGGAAACCGGACGAAGACGCGAGACGGAGAAACAGCTGGAGATGGAAAGGAAGGACCAGTGATGCAAAATGGAATGGAGTCGCCGACTCAAAAATGACACAAACGCCCAAAAAGAATAGCCGTGAGTTGGTGAACTGTTCAATCATAAACCTGAAAAGCGATGTCTTCGATAAACAATGGCGAACAGCTGGGTGATAAAAGTAAAGCATGTTTTCAATACAGAAAGCCATAATCTTTTCGAGCATTTACCGGAATGAATCATCTCTAGCATTAAGTGATTGGGCCGTGAATATCCACCTCATGGAATGTGCCAAGCCACGACGCCGCCATTTCGAAGTGCCGATGTCCACCCAAAGTAAGCACAAAGGACGGAACAATACCAGTATTAAGACGGCACGCATTATCCGCACGCAGAGTATACAGACAGACACACACGCAAACACACTGTCGGGCAGCGGACGCAGCTGCCACTAATAGGACAGATTGCACCGATCACGACCGCATCACTTTCGCGACCGACGCGACCGATCACCTTCACACCGAATATAACTAAACAATTATAAACAATCACGACAAATCGGGGCGAAGCTGAGTGGTTACATGATACACCGATCACTCGTCCAGTCGGCTGCAGATTATGAGGTGTACCTCACCGACTGTTACTGTGTGCTTCATGGCGCGCCTAATGTTATTTTGGGCCCAGTCCACGCTCACTGGGCCACTCGGGCCCACGGTTTATCCAGTACCCGGCCTCTGCACACTACGCAAGGCGTATGGCCAAACCGGGAGCTGCGACAAGAAACCTCAGCAACTGACTCGCGCGATGCCTTCGCATCGGCAATGCCCCACAAGGCCGGAACAGCTAACTGGTCTTAAGATGTACGAAAACGGTTTGATATAAATTCAAAGGCAAATAAATGTTTGGCAGCGCAATGGAATTGCCCATTCCAGGTCCCACTCCATCCCCAAAGATAATCAGGCGGTGTATCTCGGATGAAAAGTGTACGCGATTATTCGTATGAAGAGCTGAATGGCATGCCATTTAACCCGCGCCCTGCTGGGGGGGGTGTTTGAACACCCCCCCTTGTGGTTTTTCGCGAATATCTCAAAAACGGCGGCGCGGAGCGCCGCCGTTTTTGGTACACCTTATCATACATCAATTCTACACATGTTGTGAAAATTTCAGACCAAGGTCATTCAAGGTCAGGTCACCAGGTCACTTGAAGTGACCTCACCTCATAAAAAGTTTCAATGTCTGTCATAGCTACACCGAGTGACCGATCGCTTTGAAACTTTCAGCGATTGCTAAGAGCAATAGCATGTACAAAATGTATATCTCAGAATTTTGATATCGATGACCTAAGGTCAGGTCAATTTTGCGACCTCCCCATTATAAGTCAATGGGAGAAAATTGAAATGCGCCTCCTTTGGACGAAAGACATTATGAACACTCCCAAACACTGAATTACAAGTGGTTTAGACACACTGAACATGAAAATGGTGTCTGTGACCCCTGTTTATGCCCTGAGGTCATCTTAGGTCACGAATGGTATCTAACAGTTTTTCGCAAATAACTTTTGATACACGCATGCTAGAGCGATGAAAACGCCTTAGCTGTGTTCAGCTCGACGATACGGATCGACTGATATGCAACATGACCCTTTCCGGTCAGGTCATGACCTTGACCTGAGGTCAAATTTTCAAGTTGACCTTTCAAGGTCAAGTTATAGTTCATTCGATGCGTCTTGACGAGAGGAACACGATACCGGTAAAAGTAAGCTCGTACATGGCTTGGGTCAAAAGTTATTGCAGAAAAACTGTTTCCGAAAAAAATCGGCTATTTTTGCAGTTTTTGCCCCCTGCAGGCAAAACCGTTGACGTTAGGTCAAATCTGAGAGAATTACTCAGAAAGGGCGTTAATAGAGCTATCGAATGCGCTTTTCCGCGGCGCTGTAGCTCTATTGGTTCCCGAGTTATGTGTTGGCTTCTTGGAAATTGTCGACATTCGACCTGGAAATCGGCGAAATTTTGCCTTCAATGACCTCTGGTGACCTGACCTTTGACCTGACCAAAAAATTGACCGAAGTGATTTCGTCATTATTTTTTACGCTCTTTCGAACGCCGCCTTCCGCGTATCGCTACGTGGCCCAGGAGCCGAGTTAGAAGGGGGGGGTGTTCAAACACCCCCCCCCCCCAGCAGGGCGTGGAAATCCAGGACCCCCAGCCGGGCGCGGGTTAATGGTCAGACATTGCTCTTAAGACCCTCTTTGTGCTTCGGACATTGATCAATGTTGAACCCAGTCTAATATATGATTATTTTTCTCGCATTTGGCAGTATTGATTGGAAGAGCACTTCTGGAAGAACACATAAGATTACAGAACATTTTCACATGACAAAAAAAAAAACTACGCATGAATTCTCGTGGCCAGAAAACATGGCCGATATTTTGATGATGAGTACAATATTTGCAGACACCACGGACCATCGCTTGGCAGTTGGCACGAGCAGAGGACTAGCTACCTGGCGCGGCGCGGCGGCTGGGGCGATCTCTGCCGGCTGGTCACCAGAGCCAGCCAGCGGCCGACCGCCGCCGCGCCAGACATGCAGCGCTACCTACGCAGGTACTGGCGATCTACGGGCGGGCGCGTGGCGCCACCTACCGGCCAGCATAGCCTCTCTGAGCCCGTCCGGAGCCCCACTAGGCATTGGCGGAGGGCGCGGGGGCCGCGGTGGTAGCGTTTTCCGGCCGCGCCCGGTACCACATCGTCTCCTTGAAGATGAACCACAGGTTGGCCGCCCACACGAACATATTCAGGAAGCCGAAACACTGTCGGAAAGGACAGAGAAGCGTTAAACTTTAGCAGGGTAGTAACAGCTGAAAGTTCACTGCCAGTCATGAGTGCCGACTGTCGAGTGAATGGCCTCCCTAGCGAACAATGGAGACGATAGCCGGCAAGCAACAAGTCACCGATAAGGAACGGAGAGCAAATAGGCGGGGTCAAACGCAAACACTCACTGGGCTGACTCGGCTTCGGTCGACACACGATTCATCGGTTATCGCACAAATATCTGCACTTGTGTTGCGACACCAAGCGAGATAGACACGTTACACTGTTAAAGGTTACAGCGATAGTGGTCCGCGAGTCCTAGATAGCCAACATTGTCCCGAAAACTTGCACGTCAATCACGGCGGCCTGAATGGAATCCACTAGGTAAAATAAGCTTCGACACTCCATAGCTCAAATTAGGTGCGACGGTCTGGCCTGTAGTCCACGCAAAGCACCACCAAAAAGCCAGCATGCGTCCCTACCGAAATATGACTATGCCCTCCCGACTCTCAAGCCCGTCCTCTCCAGCCGGCCGCTCCCCCTCCCAACAACTCACCAGCGAGGCGTTCAGTTTCCCGAACGACCCACGGTGGTCATCTCCGTTCACCGAGCACTGGACGCCGATCAGCTGGTCGCAGAGACGCGAGAGCGCCGGCTCCGGGTCGGAGCCGTCGGCCAGCGTCGACATGCCGGCCGCCCACGCCGCCGCCGCCACCAGCCAGAGGAACGCCAGAGCCGCGTGCAGCACAAAGTCCTGACAGCGACGGTGGATAAAGGTAGGAGACAGCGAATCACCGTCACAGGGGTAGATTTACTGGGTGTTATCGTAAACACAAAGAGAAAATGAACTCATAGAAACGATATATTACATTACAACGATACAACCATTAGCTAAAAGTTATAGACGTTAAGGCATTTACAACCGAAACTGCCCATTACACATGACCACCAGATTTTAATCGATGCTACAGATCAGACATCATCGGTCAAAAGCAGGATACAGCAGATAGAGGCAACCTTAGGATATGCAAAACAGAACTAAAGCCCACAGCCCCCTGTACTGCCATATCACCCACGGTCTTATAGCTCACCGCAGAGGGGATCAGGCGTCTGCCGATGTACATGTCGTGCAGCAGGACGTATCCGACCAGCGCCAGCACCGCGTACAACATGCAGATGACTCCGAGCGCCACGAAAAACTTGGCCTGGGGCGACACGTCGGTGGGGAAGTGGAAGCTGGCCGTCTGCGGCGGGCTGGAGCAGAGTGTCTGACGGATGAGCACCGCGTCCAGCCTGCCGACGGGGGGCCGAACGGGGGCTCAGTAACACAGAGTGGTATAGTCTGCAGTTCAAATGACGGTTAATTTGATGGTTGACAGTCATGGTGAAAGATGTACAAAGTTCTGATAATAAATTTCTCGTAATGGCAAAGAAGTTGGGAATGTTAGAAAAACCGTACATACGCAAAAATCAGTATGCATCAAATTTCACAACATATATTATCGATGCTCTTGAACAGAGAAGAATACACAACATCTCAGGTCAAGCTATCAGATGAACTAAAACCACCTGACCAAGAAATGCCCGCCGATTTTGATGCAACTCACGCGAACGGATACTCGACGGTATTTCTGACAACATCGTTCAGTCCGCCCTGGCAGTTCGGGACCGTGGCGTGGAACGTGAAGTAGGTGCTGAAGCTCACTGTGGTGGAAAATGCCAGGATCGCCAAAAGCTGTCAAAGTGATTCATGGTCAATGGTTGGTGCCTTGTATTGCATGATACTAGCAGGGTGCAGGTCACCGTACATGCCAGCTGCAGGTCACTCGCTGCATGCCAACTGTGAAAGGTGGTTATAAAACAATTTACATGCTTAATATGACTCATGCATAGTGCATTGCAAGGTCTGTGGAGCATGTAAGTTGACTGCAATCAGGCATCTCAAACATAACAACTTTTTCGTTTATAACTATTCCAGTTAATAGCAAAAAACAGAGCCTTGTGCAGGAAATCACACAGCTCACTGGAAGTAATGTAAAGCTAAATCTAGCAGCACAAGTCACATCAAAAGCCACTTACAAACTGCAGTATCTTTATAAAGCCACGGGGCTCTTTTAGAACTTCCACATGCACTTGAAGCATAATGACAGCGTGGGTGAGCTTGCAAGTCTGGAATAAAAACAGGCTGAGCTAACTAACACTATCAAACATTTTAACATCCATACATAAGTGAAATAGCTAAAAATAAAAGCTCATTCTCATAACAAAACTGAAAAGCTGAGAAGACCTTAGCATGGTTAATTAGGAAACATCTATTACACACATACACAAACATGAAATGAAATAAGCTTTTAGAGATCATTGAATGACATTTACAAAGAAAAAGAAAAAGAAACTTTCAAATGCAGCTGTCTTTGCATTGTGTGCAAAGCATATATGTAACAACAACATGTCTTGTGCCATAAACAAACATCAGCTGCAGAATATGTCATGTCATTCACAATCCAGGAATAGCATAGAGGGAGCTACCATGATAACAGCCTTATAGTTTTATAAAGGCCCAAGTCTGATGTGAACAAAGTGGCGATACTATACTTGTTCTGAGCTATTCCAAACAGTAATTTGACAAAGATGACATCAATTTCAGGGATGTAGATTAAGTGTGGACCAAGGTACTGGAGAGGCGGGGTGAAAACAATGGAAAAAAATAGCCACTGAGTTTGTAGTGTTGGTTATGCACTTGCCAAAGCTAAGACCATTCTGTCAGAATGGGTATACCTAAGAAAAAATGCTGCCCAGAAATTTTTAAGAAAGGGCCATCCCAGACTGGAGTTCAAGTTATGTTCCTACCAGAGGGGTGTTCACGGGCACCGCACACTGCTGCGTGCGGTGTGTGCGGAGCGTCCAGCAGGCGTGGGGGTAGGGGATGGGTAGGCGGCTCTGACGTCACGGCTGCGTGCGGTGGACGGTCCGCTGTGGCCAGTCCCGACCGGCCGCAGCGATCGCTGTGTGCGGTGACGGAAGGCTGACGTAGGGACGCAGTGGGCGGAGCTTGGAGGCTGTGTGCGGTCCGACCGCACACAGGGCCCGTGAACAGCCCTCAGAGCTGAACCCCCACTGGTTTCCTGAGGGCTGTTCACGGACCCTGTGTGCGGTCGGACCGCACACAGCCTCGGAGCTCCGCCCACTTCGTCCCTACGTCAGCCTTCCGTCACCGCACACAGCGATCGCTGTGGCCGGTCGGGACTGGCCACAGCGGACCGTCCACCGCACGCAGCCGTGACGTCAGAGCCGCCTACCCATCCCCTACCCCCACGCCTGCTGGACGCACCGCACACACCGCACGCAGCAGTGTGCGGTGCCCGTGAACACCCCTCTGGTAAACCAGCCATGACAACCTAGACAGAAAAAACCAGGCGCGTAACCACCACTGGGGACACTGGGGACCGGTCCCCATTAACTTTTGGGTTACTGGGGACCGTCCCCAGTAACACCGACGGCCTCCTCAATTTGCTTAAATAGCCAAAAAGCTGGAACAGCTACTCATTGGCCCAACAGACCGAGCAAGCCTGGACAAAGTTCGCAGTTCGTTAGAATGGTGGCCCGAGGAACTCGAGGTGGACAACTTGTCCAGTCAGCTGCGCGTGTTCCTGTCGGGAAGACAGGTCACGTGCCTCAAGCACACCAAGGAGGCCTTCCAAAGCCTGAGTCATGACGCCTGATCTCTCCTCCCACAAGTCGAGTAGCTGCTGAGGCAGCTAACGGTGTTGTCAGCAGCATCGGCTACCGCAGAGCAGTGTTCGCCACGGGCTGGGCCAGCCCAATGGGCCATGGGCTGGGCTGGGTCCACAAATATGAAGGACCGATGGGCAAATATGAAGGTGGATGGGCTGGGCCAATAACTGTAAAGTGGGCTCAGGGGCTCGCGACTAAGACAAAAACCGTAACTAGCCTATTACTGTGCGAGACTCAAAAACGAGTTAATAAAGCACGTATGCAATGTGCATTGGGCATGCTGCTCGCAAAAGATTGTTTCTTTGCTAACTTCGGATGACATAATACCTGTGTGGTGTCCACAATTTTTATCCATTCGTTTTTGACGGGCTGGGCCGGGCTGGGCTCTGCCACTTTTACCATGAATGGGTTCGGGCTGGGCCGGGCTGCGAGCCCATGGGCCTGGGCTGGGCTGGACTGGGATTTTGCGGCCCGTGGCGAACACTGCCGCAGAGCGAAGCTTCAGTGCCTTGCGTAGGCTGAAAACATGGATGCGGTCTACAATGAGCCAAAGGCGTCTGGACGGAGCGGCTATATACTGCATATGCACCGTGACCGCGTGCAGGTGCAGCCCACTGAGGTGGCTAAGGACTTTTTGGCTTTGAACGCGTCTCGCCGCCACACATTTTAACCCTCGCCCTGGCAGGGGAGGGGTCGATGCGACACCCCCCCCCCCCAAGTTTTTTTTTGCGATGCGCGCCGAACTATCAGTCGGGTCGTGCTGAAATTTTCTACAGCTCTGGGACATCTTTTCTCAAATTTGGTAAAAAGCAGTTCCGGGTCATGTCAGGTCACCGAGCTATGACGTCATAATAGGTATCACCTCTGACCGTTTTTGACAAAATCGTACCTACATACCGTAACTGGACGTGATCTCATCGACAAGAACGAAACTATTCCGTGTGATTTGTCAGAATTTGACTGGAAATGAATCTTCACATTGTATGTTGACCTTTCTAAGATCAACCAATGTAATGACCTCGCATGTTCACACGCTGACCTCCGTGATATGAGCTGTGTTTAGTGGGGTTTCTTGAGGTCCTGAACCCGAATCTGTGGTTCAGTTTCCCCTAAATGCCTTCACAACTGTTCCTTGACCTTTACAAGGTCAACCAAGGCCAATGACCTAGAATGAACTTCTGCCGGCGACCATCCCCGCCGGCAGCGGGCGTGACTTTTCGTGTTCCCGGGGAATACGTCACGCCAGTAATGACTGAAATGCAATCAACTTTACATCATTTTGTTGCTAATTCGTTGAAAGACACGGTCGTGAGAGTTTCATGTGGCTATCTTTCATAAATTCGCAAATAGGTACTGGCTAAGTAATTTGGAAGATTATAGCTTTTCCCTGAAATTTGACCATTGACCTGCCTGCCAAGCCGCGTTATGAAAAATGCGCTGCCAGTGCGAGGTTTAAGATCTTTTTAAAGATATATTTTATTCTTAATAATTTTCCACCCTTCCCACGTATCTCATCCCCACACCTGAAATATAATATTTGGTCTTCGCGGCCTTCCATGTGGTCCCCAGTAGCTTCAGACTCGTGGTTACGCGCCTGAAAAAAAACATGGTAAAAATGGGGATGATGGTGGGAACTGGGAGCACACTGGGATGGTTCTGACTCTGAGGATAGATAGGAAAGATGTCATCCATGTTGAATTTGCTAGGCTAAACTTTTCTATGGTAAAGAGAACCTTCAGGACCTCCAAAAATTATGAATTGGACGGCACTTATCCGCACCATAGCATGTGCCGGCTTTTGCAACATCTGCCTCACCAAAACTCAATCTTCTAGAGCCCTGTTTCATGGCTTGAAGCTACCTGGCATTACAGTAGTGCGGGAGCTGACATCTTCAATGGGAGGCCGGTGAAAACAGGGCGCCGGAGGGCATATTAGTCACGTGACATTTGGAACTTCTCCCCCTCCGTGGGCCTTCTTGGGGCCTTCTACATACTAAACGTCACGTGAATTTCACGAGTCTTGATCAAACCGCCCCAGGCGCCCTGTTTTCACCGTCGTCCCTTAAATGTACCTATGTCATGCGAATTGGGGCCCAACCCTGGCTTTTCACTAGCTCTCAAATATAAACTTTAACTATACCTACCTACCTACTAGGTTGATGATGCCACTAAGTACTGGAGCCAGTGGCCGACCCAGGGGAGGGCAAATAAGGCAATTACCCCTCCCAAACGGCATAATTTTAACATTACACCTATGTACCTACTGCCCCTACTTCAACCTACAGGTTGAGGTGTATTACATTTGCATAATAAGCTACAAAAGCCATAAAAAACATCCGTATCACAATCACATTCAAAATACCTATGTAATGGCATCTTACCAATGAAATACCGCTAATTGTTATCTCGTTGTTGTTGTTGTTGGAATAGGACGCGTACTAATTGTTATCTCTCCTCGACTTGGAAAGAAATGTGTGTATTTTAGTAGGCTTATGGCAGCCACGGTATCTCGCACATGACTCGTCTTACTGTTCAGCAGAAAGGCACTTTCTAAAAACCATCTGATGTTGCCAGGCAACCTGCAACAGCCGCAGTTCGTGAATGGTTTAAGCCAATTACCTTCAGCAATCGACGCTCCGATCGCACAAACCTTTTTTTCAGAATACGTTTTTGAACACTACCGCCGGGACGTTGATGAGTGGGCGGCAAGGCTATATAAACCAGGGGTATATCAAATATAAACCGATATAGAAATATAAACCGGGATACAGAACTTGACGGGATTGGGATTGGGATAGGGTTTTCTTGTTGCTTTTTGGGCAAATGCAGTTAATTAACAGCTAACAGTCTATTTTAGCTGATCCAGGTAAACACAAGTAATATGTCATTTATTTTCTGATTAGTTTTAGACAGATTAAGCTGTTTGCTTCAGATCCACGTGTGTTATGTGTGTTCAATTTGTCTCAGATTTGTTTTTGTTTCCATTCTGTCAGGTAGGTAGGCAACTGGTGGCATTTATTTGATCATGCAGGAGTATTTTTCGCCAGTATGTTGTAACTATTGTCTGAATCCTGGTTATGGTGATTGTGATTGCTCAGGCCTCAGATTGGCACATTGACCTGTTTTGGCAGGTTCAGTCATGGATGGATTGGAGGCCGCGGCTGTCTCTGTACTTAAGCGAGCAGTAGAGTTGGATACAAAACGCCGCTGGACAGAGTCAATGACATGTTATCAAGAAGGCCTCCACCTTCTGATGGAAGTTATAAAGGTCAGCTGACAGGTTATCTAAGGGCTTGTCATCATACTGCAGGCCGAAGGGCCTACCTAGGTTGTTCAGAGCTGGTTATTAAGTAGGTAATTTGTTCAGATGTGTGTACTGTGCATCATCATCATCATCAAATTATTGTCTTATCATCATGGATAATTTGGTACCTATAAGCACAACATATTGTTTTTGGACAAATACTTTGTGGAATACAAACCCACCCATCTACCCATTTATCTGTGAACCAATCCATAAAACTTTTTCTACATTTTCTTAGTCAATGGTAAGTTCTTATTTACTGCCTACAGCATTTTCTCTGACTTTGAACACTTGTCAAGTCACTTAAGTCATGCCCTGCTGAGGGTTTTACTTTCTTCATTCTTTCTTCACCAGTGGTGTTGTGGGTGCTTCAGCCAGCACTATGAGTCCCCAGCCTCTGTCACCCAGGCTGGTTGACATCCTTGTTAGTAACATACTCCTCAGTCTCAATGAACAAGCACAATGTCTGCTGATTGCCCACAGGGCCTACCAGAGGGTCCACGGCGCTCAGCGTTCCGCACCAAGGCCACAGAATACATGGACCGTGCCGAGAAACTTAAGACTCAAATCGAGGCAGAGAAGCGACTTGGCAAGTACCACGAGCAGTTACACATCGATGAGGACTCGACGGGTCACAGCTACGAGAGTGTGTTCGGCAGGTTCCTGGACAGCGCTGTTACCGTGGTCGAAGTTGAGGACCCCTACATCCGCGCCGTGCACCAGGTGCGCGGTAGGAGGGGTGGGAGAGGCACGCCAGTAAAAAGTCACATCTCGGAAGTGCGCAGCCGTGATGGAGTTATGCGCGTGAATTCACTAAGTGGGGGAGAGTGGGGTAATTTGGCCGCTTTTTTTTTTAGAAAACCATGTAACTTAAAATTGACGACACTTTTCTGCATTTTCTCAACGCTGGCAGGTGTCGCATTCATTTTACTTTACTGGACAGTGAACTTGAAATGATAGAGTAATTACTTATATTGAAATTGTGACGTATTACAAAGGTCTGCAAGGCGGCCAAATTGCCCCACTAGCAGGGTTATTTGGCCGGGGGTGTGGGGCTATTTGGCCGGTGTTAGTTTGCGGTCGGGATTTTTTGTTATATTGCGAGTCAGCTTCAGATTCAGCAATGACGTGTGTCCTATGACACATTCGCCGCATTTTGGAGGTTGACTCAGGGGTCACAAGGGTCAAAATAGCCAAATTAGCGGCTCTAGATGCGAAGACAGTTTTTTTACGAATAACTTTTGAAGTAATCAAGCTAGGCCAAAACTTCGAGTACCATCGTAATCCTCTCGTCAGTCCGCATCGAAACATATATATGATGACCTCGAGAAGTCAAGGTCAAAGGTTGACCTCAGGTCACGTTACCTCAGGTCGCTTGACCTCAAGGTCACGTGATTTCAAGGTCATCATGCATATCATTCGATGCGCCTTGCCGAGCTGAACAGAATGAGACCATTTGTGCGGCTGTACCATTTTTATGTAAGGATTTATTAGCAAAAAACGTTTGGTAACCTTTGATGACGTCACATGCTCTTACAGTTGACCAATTGGAAGTAAGGCATCAAAGTAGTCAAAGTTGGTCATGAATCATATCATTTATGGTACAATTGACCATAAAAAATTGGCCGTCCGAGCATAGTGACCATGAGCGCACCGGCCAAGTTGCCCCGCTAGTCCCGGCCAAATTACCCCATATTGCCATTCTGAAAATTTGTGCCTATAAAGTCATCACGACTATACGGAATTAGATGAAATTGCTCTTGGAACCGCTGAACACCCCCAAGAATGGCGCTATAATGTCTGAATTCGTTTTTAGCTCAAATACTACATGTTATACAACTTCGTAAACAGAAGTAAAAGTTACCATTTTCTAATGAAAATAACGTTTTATTAATTTTGAATAAAACTACGAGGGGCAAAGTTTTGGCATTTGTCCTAGAGTTATTTCTACCCATGACAAATGAATAGAGACCAGAATTATTTCACTCACTTTTATTAGACATCGTACAGGTGGGGGCGGCCAATTTACACCACCGGCCAAATTACCCCACTCTCCCCTGTCTAACAAGAAGGTACTAATTAGTAATTATCCGCCGTCTGATTGTCCTCCGTCTGTCCGCAGTGTTACAACTTTCTCCGGCTGTGTGAGCTGTGCGTGCGCAAGTGTCCGAGACTGCGTCAGATCACCCTGCTGACTGGCTCGGACCCGGGTGATGCCGACGTGCAGAGGGAGCGGCTGAACAAGATCGGAGCGTCCCTCTCTGAGCGCGGCGTCAAGCTGGCCATCACCTTCTCGGAGACGCTGCACGATCGGGAGATCAGGTCAGTGTGGCTACACCTCACGCTATACCGTGCCATGCACCCAAGACCATCTTAACCGTGTGTTTTATGAACAATCCACGTGGTTGTTGTAAATCGATCGAACGTCCGCGAATGTTGCGACTGTTGTGTGTAGACATGCTGTCTCGGTAACAATAAGGGACTCACTATGAAATGGCCGTCAGATGTCCCGATACGTTAGCGACATCATTGCTTGAACGCATTAAGTAAATAACCTGTCCAGTGCCAATCGAGCTGTGCCACACGCTTATCAACCGTGCGGTCGGCATCCGGATAATCAGGGATAATTTTCCGGGATCACCGGGATTATTCGATGTTTTAGGCTGACACCGTGTACAACGGACATGACAACGAGTAAAAGAGCCATTCGTGAAGCAAAAACAATATAAAAATGTGACTAATTGCATCGATGGTCCCTGCAATACCAAATTATTGCCGGTGATCCCGCATAATTTTCCCTCATTTTCCGGATGCTGAACGCACGCCAAATCAACAATGCTTCATCTTTCATTTTTCAGAATAAACAACGGGTGGATAATAAAGATCGGGCGCGGACTCAGTTACTTCAAGCCACCGGCCAGCAAGTTTTGCCTGGGGTACAACGACCTGGATCTACGGCCATGTCAAGAGACAACAGTGGATATAATACACAAGGCTGCATCTAAATAATGCCACGACGCTAGCAGCCAAGTGTGACGCCCTATGCTGTGATACTGATGACCATTAACCAGATGATGTTCAGACTCTTGTCATCGAGAGACAAACAATTTTGATGCATCGTGCATGCAACACTGGTGTGATTCATCTTGTGTTGACTATCGACGTGATTTTTATGCCCTGTTCTTGTAAGATAGTGATCGTTGCTTCGTGCTTTCAGATGTATTGTTACCCAAGCACAACTATCATCTGGTATGGCGTGACCAGACTGTTCTTCCAGCGTCGTATGCTGTGAATGAGCCCTGTAATACTATTTTAAAATGTTTAAGCGTTTTTCAAACGTCACCCGTGCCGCTTGGTGTGGGTAGTACAACGAAATGCACGACTGCCACGTGCAAATCCGATATAAGCGGCGATTTTCATCACTCAATCCGTTTTCTTTCTCGATTAAAAAAAAAATAGACGATTAATGTTTGCTGTCGGAACATATACCCAGAAAACGTCAGTCGTTACCAAGCTTACATAATTGGATACATGCATGGTCCAGTTTACGCATCCACTATCCGGTCTAGCTTGTATACCCTGAAACCAAGTACATTGGACATGATGATAATGTATTAGCACAAAATACAAATATATGAGAATGGTGTGCGGGTGCGGCGGCCGGCCGCTCTGCCCGCACGTCTAGTTATCGACAATCATTAGCTCGTCGATGCCCCAGTCCTCGTAGCTGCCGTCGGGCAGGTACCTCCGGATGATGATGGGGATCTTGCGCTGTTTGAGCTCCTTCATGGCGATCTGCAGCGGGTCCGTCTCTCCCTCCAGCTCCACCATGACGGGCGCGCACATGGCGATCTGGAGGGCTCGCGTGCCCAGCACCCGCGCCCGCTCGTACTTGGTCATGAAGGGCGTGGTCTGACGATCGGCCCCCGAGGCAGCCACGCCACCCTCGCCCGACGGCAGGATGGCCACGTTCTCTCCGTCGCCCTCGGCCAGCTCGTCCAGATCGTCGCCGGCGTCGTCGGCATCCTCGAAGTCGTCGCCGGCGTTGTCGCCATCGAAGTCTCCCTCGTCAGCCATGGCCAGCCGTGATCAGAGGTCACCTGCGTGACAGAGCACGGGGACGGGGTCACCGGACTGTGTGCGATGAGCGATGTAGTCTAGCAAAAACAAATGATTGGTGTAATCGGCGGTCACACTGCAAAGCACTTGTTTCGGAGAGAAGATAATTTTTCCATATTCCTTGACCTGGCCAAATATGGTCAAAGGACGGAAATGACCGCAAACAACCTACATTACACAGGTCAATGTAGGTAGATACAGTACACCTATACGTACCAATACACTGTCTGGATCATGTTTCAATACCAGATGACACCCAATGTAAATCAACGCAACATGTTCACAGTACCTATGGGCTACAGTCTACAGTTACACTACTCACTGCCAGTAGCGGTAGGGGAGGGGGGGGGGAGGGCACTGCCGACTTTTGGTCCCATTCTTTCCATGCAACGCCCATAGGGCTAATGTTAGAATGCAAAAATCGAAGGGGTCACGGTGCCCCCGTGCCCTCCCCGTTCCGCCGCCTATACTCATTGCTGTACTTTTTGTGAAATGTCACATGCCACAGAAGCAACACTCATGTGCACTCTTTTAATCCTGCCTCATTGAATGGAAATATTTCAGCAAAAAATTGCACATGATAATTAATAATGGTCTTTTACATAGACAACACTTTTAAGCTATTTTATCAAAGGTGGGATGGTTTCTTACAGAAATTAAGCATCAGAGCAGATCTAGTCTCTCAGGTTCTAAGGCTTCACTCACCACCTGGAGTTGAAATCTCTACCATTTAAGCTATACCTAATATATACCATAGATAACAATGTTATCTATGCATATACCAAACATTTATAGTAGTTACAGTATGATTAGTTACATAAAACAACTACCATCCAGACCTGTATCTCAAGGAGCAGCAGGTGGAGAATCATATACCTATTTATATACACTGCGTATACCTATCTTAACCCGCGCCCTGCTGGGGGGGGGGGTGTTTGAACACCCCCCCCCCCTTGTGGTTTTTCGCGAATATCTCAAAAACGGCGGCGCGGAGCGCCGCCGTTTTTGGTACACCTTATCATACATCAATTCTACACATGTTGTGAAAATTTCAGACCAAGGTCATTCAAGGTCAGGTCACCAGGTCACTTGAAGTGACCTCACCTCATAAAAACTTTCAATGTCTGTCATAGCTACACCGAGTGACCGATCGCTTTGAAACATTCAGCGATTGCTAAGAGCAATAGCATGTACAAAATGTATATCTCAGAATTTTGATATCGATGACCTAAGGTCAGGTCAATTTTGCGACCTCCCCATTATAAGTCAATGGGAGAAAATTGAAATGCGCCTCTTTTGGATGAAAGACATTATAAACACTCCCAAACACCGAATTACAAGTGTTTTAGACACACTGAACATGAAAATGGTGTCCGTGACCCTTGTTTATGCCCTGAGGTCATCTTAGGTCACGAATTGTATCTAACAGTTTTTCGCAAATAACTTTTGATAGAGGCATGCTAGAGCGATGAAAACGCCTTAGATGTGTTCAGCTCGACGATACGGATCGACTGATATGCAATATGACCCTTTCCGGTCAGGTCATGACCTTGACCTGAGGTCAAATTTTCAAGTTGACCTTTCAAGGTCAAGTTATAGTTCATTCGATGCGTCTTGACGAGAGGAACACGATGCCGGTTAAAGTAAGCTCGTACAAGGCTTGGGTCAAAAGTTATTGCAGAAAAACTGTTTTCGAAAAAATCGGTTATTTTTGCAGTTTTTGCCCCCTGCAGGCAAAACCGTTGACGTTAGGTCAAATCTGAGAGAATTACTCAGAAAGGGCGTTAATAGGGCTATCGAATGCGCTTTTCCGCGGCGCTGTAGCTCTATTGGTTCCCGAGTTATGCGTTGGCTTGTTGGAAATTTTCGACATTCGACCTGGAAATCGGCGAAATTTTGCCTTCAATGACCTCTGGTGACCTGACCTTTGACCTGACCAAAAAATTGACCGAAGTGATTTCCTCATTATTTTTGACGCTCTTTCTAACGCCGCCTTCCGCGTATCGCTACGTGGCCCAGGAGCCGAGTTACAAGGGGGGTGTTCAAACACCCCCCCCCCCCCAGCAGGGCGTGGAAATCCAGGACCCCCAGCCGGGCGCGGGTTAACATGCGGGATGTGACAGATAGGGTATGATCCAGTGGTTCCTCCAACTACTTCTTAGTTCCTTTAACCTCCTCCCACTTCAAAAGATGGTTCCCATCACTCCCTCTGATTCCACATCTCACCAACACTGCTCTCCTCCTCCCTTATCCCAACCCAAAAGCTGGAATTCTGGGCCATTTTTCATGGCATGATGCTAAAGCATACCTACTACACATATTGTATTGGGTTTCATTGGAAACATCAACAAACTCGGACTTTAAATGTTAAAGCTCCAAGATTGTTGTTTCCGTGAAAACCAAATACAGTGATACATGTACCACACTGTAGGTACCTAGCGTGGTGCTGTGAAACAGGACCCCGGGTGATGTCCGTGAAGTTAGCGTCAGCAACAGCAACGAATACAGCGTCGGATTCAGAATCGCTTCAAAAAGTGCCATTAGGTCAATTGGGGGACGGGGAACACGAATATGACATTTATTTTGCCCTAGCTCCCTTCCTTCATCCCTTAATCGTCCCTTAAGGGACGGGGCGCGTCAAAAGTACCCCAAGGCTTCCTCTGATCGCCTAAATAAGGGTCGCAATCGATTCCTCGGGTCAATATCTAACCTCAGTCGAAAGTTCCAGACCTGTGGCTTCTATCCCTCATCCCTTAATCGTCCCTTAAAGGACGGGGCGCGTCAAAAGTGCCCCAAGGCTTCGTCTGATCGCCAAAATAAGGGTCGCAATCGATTCCTCGGGTCAATATCTAACCTCAGTCGAAGGTTCCAGACCTGTGGCTCCTATCCCTCATCCCTTAATCGTCCCTTAAAGGACGGGGCGCGTCAAAAGTGCCCCAAGGCTTCGTCTGATCGCCAAAATAATGGCCGCAATCGATTCCTCGGGTCAATATCTAACCTCAGTCGAAGGTTCCAGACCTGTGGCTCCTATCCCTCATCCCTTAATCGTCCCTTAAAGGACGGGGCGCGTCAAAAGTGCCCCAAGGCTTCGTCTGATCGCCAAAATAGTGGTCGCAATCGATTCCTCGGGTCAATATCTAACCTCAGTCGAAGGTTCCAGACCTGTGGCTCCTATCCCTCATCCCTTAATCGTCCCTTAAAGGACGGGGCGTGTCAAAAGTGCCCCAAGGCTTCGTCTGATCGCCAAAATAATGGTCGTAATCGATTCCTCGGGTCAATATCTAACCTCAGTCGAAGGTTCCAGACCTGTGGCTCCTATCCCTCATCCCTTAATCGTCCCTTAAAGGACGGGGCGCGTCAAAAGTGCCCCAAGGCTTCGTCTGATCGCCAAAATAAGGGTCGCAATCGATTCCTCGGGTCAATATCTAACCTCAGTCGAAGGTTCCAGACCTGTGGCTCCTATCCCTCATCCCTTAATCGTCCCTTAAAGGACGGGGCGCGTCAAAAGTGCCCCAAGGCTTCGTCTGATCGCCAAAATAAGGGTCGCAATCAATTCCTCGGGTCAATATCTAACCTCAGTCGAAGGTTCCAGACCTGTGGCTCCTATTTCTCATCCCTTAATCGTCCCTTAAAGGACGGGGCGCGTCAAAAGTGCCCCAAGGCTTCGTCTGATCGCCAAAATAATGGCCGCAATCGATTCCTCGGGTCAATATCTAACCTCAGTCGAAGGTTCCAGACCTGTGGCTCCTATCCCTCATCCCTTAATCGTCCCTTAAAGGACGGGGCGCGTCAAAAGTGCCCCAAGGCTTCGTCTGATCGCCAAAATAGTGGTCGCAATCGATTCCTCGGGTCAATATCTAACCTCAGTCAAAGGTTCCAGAGTCCCAGACCTGTGGCTCCTATCCCTCATCCCTTAATCGTCCCTTAAAGGACGGGGCGCGTCAAAAGTGCCCCAAGGCTTCGTCTGATCGCCAAAATAATGGTCGCATTCGATTCCTCGGGTCAATATCTAACCTCCGTCGAAGGTTCCAGACCTGTGGCTCCTATCCCTCATCCCTTAATCGTCCCTTTAAGGACGGGGCGCGTCAAAAGTGCCCCAAAGCTTCGTCTGATCGCCAAAATAATGGTCGCAATCGATTCCTCGGGTCAATATCTAACCTCAGTCGAAGGTTCCAGACCTGTGGCTCCTATCCCTCATCCCTTGATCGTCCCTTAAAGGACGGGGCGCGTCAAAAGTGCCCCAAGGCTTCGTCTGATCGCCAAAATAATGGTCGCAATCGATTCCTCGGGTCAATATCTAACCTCAGTCGAAGGTTCCAGACCTGTGGCTCCTATCCCTCATACCTTAATCGTCCCTTAAAGAACGGGGCGCGTCAAAAGTGCCCCAAGGCTTCGTCTGATCGCCAAAATAATGGTCGCAATCGATTCCTCGGGTCAATATCTAACCTCAGTCGAAGGTTCCAGACCTGTGGCTCCTATCCCTCATCCCTTAATCGTCCCTTAAAGGACGGGGCGCGTCAAAAGTGCCCCAAGGCTTCGTCTGATCGCCAAAATAATGGTCGCAATCGATTCCTCGGGTCAATATCTAACCTCAGTCGAAGGTTCCAGACCTGTGGCTCCTATCCCTCATCCCTTAATCGTCCCTTAAAGGACGGGGCGCGTCAAAAGTGCCCCAAGGCTTCGTCTGATCGCCAAAATAATGGTCGCAATCGATTCCTCGGGTCAATATCTAAACTCAGTCGAAGGTTCCAGACCTGTGGCTCCTATCCCTCATCCCTTAATCGTCCCTTAAAGGACGGGGCGCGTCAAAAGTGCCCCAAGGCTTCGTCTGATCGCCAAAATAATGGTCGCAATCGATTCCTCGGGTCAATATCTAACCTCAGTCGAAGGTTCCAGACCTGTGGCTCCTTACTCTCATCCCTTAATCGTCCCTTAAAGGACGGGGCTCGTCAAAAGTGCCCCAAGGCTTCGTCTGATCGCC